AACTTATATACTATTGAAATATGGATTATTAGTTACAATTTTATGCTATATTAATTGGTATAACATGAAAAAAAAAAAATTTAATTCAGTTTTGAAAGTAACTCAATAAAAATCTTGTGGTGCAAGGGTTAATAGATAACATCTGCTAATTCCAAATCATAGTTTTATGACTGATAAGCTGACAGGGGAACTCCAAACGTTAGTTAATAAGTTCTAACTGCGTGTAAGACTCACTATATATGACGTGATTTTTGGAGCATTAAGTAATAGGTGACTGGAAAGGCATTTCATATTATCATTGTTAGTAGGGTGAAACCATGTAAATAATGGAGATGTGCGTGTATGCTTATGTAAGACATGAAGCTTAGAAAAGACATATTTTATGCAGTATTTTAATTCAAGTAAGCTTTTACAGCTGGTGATTAAACTCCTGTTGTAGCTTGTACAAGTTAGATTATTTTCTAAGTATTTACATTAAGTAATCAGACTCTTATTGCAACTTGCACATAGTCTTTGCTAGAAGCTTTTACAGTAAGTAATGAAAGTACTTTTGTAACATGCACAGGTTAGGTTCTGCTGTAAGTTTTTACATTAAATAATCCAATTCCTTTTGTAACTTGCACAGATTAGTTTCTTCTCTAAGCATTTGTGGCACTAAAATATTCAAATTGCTACTGTAACCTGCACAAGCTAATTACTGCTATAAACTTTTACAGTAAATAATCAAACTCAATATAGCTGCCTTTGATTTTTAGCTTTATATACCATAATTTCTCAAGTGTTGAACAATTGGTGTGAACTTCAACATGGATATTTGTATGTTGTACCCACTCAAATAAAAGACAGGCTAAAGTTAATAAGGCCTCCAAGAACTTCAATATTTGAGTTTTTCAAAACATATTTTGACCCTCAAGTATTCCCTTCTATTTTTACTATCTTTCTCTTTTGTGTTGAAGTGTTTTTTACAGACTTAAATAAAAATACAGAAAGCTCAAAACGTGTTACCTGATTTTGTTTTTGATTTTTTAAACGTCCTTTGTTTTTCCATCCATCCATTCCCGTAGTAAGCTCCTTGTTTGTCCTAGGAACTTAGTTTTAAAAATCTAGTTAATACACTAATTTTTCATTCATTTTACTGAAAGATCTGATGTAACAATACAGTTAGGAGTCTTCTTAAAATTAGTATAATTTAAAGCGTCTTAATCTTTAGTTAATATTTTTATCTGGTATACCTTTGAAATCCACATACTCCTATGATCACTGAGTTGTAAGTTTGACTTAGTCTTTGTTTTTTTCCTGGAATGATTACAGGTCACAGTCAGTGTTCAGGCAGTAATCGTGAAGAGCAGGTTACCAGCATGTATACTATGGACATACTAAACAAAGCTTGCATGGAAATTGGTCTAGTGAAAAATCCTATTACTAAGATTTCTTCGAATCCAGTGTTCAGTGAAATACAAGGTACGTGTGCTGTTTAGTTAATATTTCATATGTTATTTTGTAAGTTAAAATTATAAAGATGAAATACTTCTCTTGAGTGTCATCACCTATTCTCTCTCTCTCTCACACACACACATGCATGCATAGTAAGATTTTACTTGTTGCAAGTGTAATATGGTAGTGTTTTAATGCAAATAAAAAACTTCCAAATAAACATTCATTGTGACGAATCTTTCAAATTTTAACTGTAATGATGTATCAAAATCATGTTTGGACTGTTAGAACTATATGATAGAAATAATGTATCATAATGAAGTGGTTGTATTTCAGTAAAACATTTTCTGCTGTTAAAATGATTAAATATTTTTGTCATATATGTATTCAAAGTTGTTATTAAATCTTTTTTGCTGGACTTTCAGCTCCATATGCCATACTTTCTCAAGTCACTAACAGTTGGTGTAAATGTAAACATGGATGTTTTTGTGTCAAACCCACTCAAACTAAACACAAGTAAAGGTTAATCAGTATTTGAATTTGTTTTTCTTTTTTTTTTTAAATATTTTTTGTTCCCCAAATAAAATGTAGAAGGCTCTAATAGTGTTGTTTTTTACATTGATATGTTGGTATGAGATAGAAACAGAATAACTATGAATGAGGAATAGAATAAATGAAAAATCTGAAGTCTCCAAAACTGTTAGGATTGTGATTTTTATGTAAAGTGAAAGCCAAATATAATGCTAAGTCAAATAGCTACTATGTTCTCAGTTAGAGTAGATTTTGAGTTAAAAATATATGTTGGTTTTAACTCAGTCACCATCCTACTTAATAAATCTATTAGTGGTTAAATACTGAAATATGCATAAAGGTATTACTAGGAATTTGTTCTCAGGGGATAATATAATGCCATATTATGTGCACTACTGGCACTTGTGTTTAAAATTTTAAATTATAATAAATAATTAAAAACAATGTTTTGTATTTAAACAATAAAAACTTTATTGAAGCCATACGGCTTCCACTTTAAAAAAAGAAATATCACTCTACACGTACATGTTTTGATGTGATCTACGTCATCCTCAGGAGTAACTTACAAGACTATT